GGCGTGAGGCTGGGGGCGGAGGGCACTCGGGCCCTGCCACTGCCCCTCTGTACATACTGTCAGTTCATTCCCCCCTTATCTATTTAAGAAACCAGACAGAGACGAATGCCTTTAATTTTGTATGTTGGAAATGCCGAATGAGAAGCAGCCGGCTGCTTGGGAGCCTGGACCGCCCACAGCTCCTGGCCTTGCTCAATACCTCCTCCAGCACGGAACCGGCTATAAATCTCTATAAATATAGAATTGCTCTATTTTTGTGTAAATGCAGAATAATGTAAAATTACTTGCCATAAGGTATTTGCCAGGCTCAGCATTGCTGGGAGGGGACTGGGAAGAGGGTTCTAGGGGATGTTGGTGTCGGGATCCTCACCTCAAAGGCAGTGAGGAAGGAAAAGCATTTGACAACTGCTTTAGTATTGCAGTGGTCTCCATCCTGGGGAAGGTGTAGTGGAGGTGACAGTTTGAGTGTGGCATGGATTTTGTGGCTGGGCTGGGGTTGCCTCCTCCTGCCATTGCTGTTCAGGTCTAGGCAGCCTGATTTTGGCTCGCAGGCACTGCACAATGCCATGGGAGTTGGGAGAATGATGTGCAATTCCTCCCCTGACTGTGTCTGCACCTCCAGGTCTCAGTCCCTCAACAGTATCCCTTTCTATCTGACACCCCTTCCCACCACAGATGTGGGACTGCTCCAGCAAGGACCTCATAGGTGATGCTTGGTATGTGGTCATATATTGTGTCTTTAGCAGTCTCACTGTCTTGGGTAGGGATGGCACGTGGATACCTTCAGCCCCTCTGGAGCTCAGTGGCCGTGTGTGGTGGGATTGCAAGCCAAGCCCTGGGCTCAAACCTAAGCTTGGAGGTTGGCTTGCAGAAGGTCGGAGGTGAATCTGTCATTCCTCACTTGCAACGGTTTTGCTCTTGGATGGGGGATTTTGGGTCTGTAAGATATGGTTAAGGGAGAACCAGCCTCTTCTGAAGGAAAGGGGCAATAGATTATGAAAGGCAGCTGCTGAGCAGCCTGCCTGAGGAGAGGCAGCAGTGCCTAGCGGTCCCTGGGCTGCCTAGCATCCCCATATGGGACATCCGCAGGTCCCAGCTGAGTAGCATGAAACTGAAAGCCCAGGAGTCCTCTAGTCCCTTTTTTCAGAGCATATTCTGGCCTGTGTCCCTTTCATTGTGTGCTGGTGGAGGACACTGTCCCTGTAGTATGTCCTGCCCAGGGAGTGCCCTCCCTTGCCCAGGGTGAGAATTAGTCTTCCCTAACCTGGTAGTGCTGCAACAACTGTGTCCCAGGAGAGCATGGTGGGGTTGTACTGCAGGTCTGGGCATGCCTGGAGAGCAAGGTGGGGCAACTGGGCTGGAGCAGGGACTTGGTGGGGGCCAGGGAAGGGGACGTGGTGGGACAGTAGCCAGGAAAGATCCTTTGGCCCATGCTGCTGGTGCTGACTTGCCCCACCAAAACCAAAGCTTCACAGACATCCCATGAAGCCTGGAGCAGGGACCTTTAGCCTTGCTCTATCCGATTTTCAGTCTTTCCAGAGCATCGGTTTTCTTCTGCATGGTTAAAAGCTTAAGACCTTAGACTTTCAATGCTCCATTGCTCTCCAGCCCCATGTGAGCTGAGAAAAGCTTTGATTTTTTTTGTTTTTGTTTTTAAAACAAAGAGAACAAGAACAGAAACACCTCCCCTGGTGATTGCTGCTGGGGCAAACTCATTCCCTCTTGATCTGTGATGGGGGCATATGGCAGCCCTTTATCTCCCTCCCTGTCTGCAGACACTCCCTGAGGCATGTCAGCTTTGCCATAATCAAGGGCTGGCACTGGCTAATTCTAGGTACAGGCATAGGTAAGAGGGACCAAAGCCCTGCAGAACTGGTGAGGCTTCTCAGGGCTTAAGCAGCCAAGACAGCTCTCAAGATGAAATACTGGCCTCCTCTCCCCTGTAAATAAAGAACGAACAAATGGATGCTGGTGTTTCTTGTCTCCTGTTTGCTATTGCATGTTGGCTGCAATCCCAGCGTGGAAGCAGACTTGGCCAACATTGTCTTAGCTCTGCAAGTCAAAGCCAGACCTGGAGCAAAGCTTCTTGCACAGGCTGCTTTGGTGAAGAAGGAGATGCTGAAGGCAGTGGCCCTGGCATTTGGCTGGCCAGCCAGCTCTCAGCAAGTCCTCGTGCACACATACCTTGGGGTGCTTTTGTGAAACCCCTCTGTGCTCCCAGGACAGCAGAGAGATGGACAAGTTTAGCCCTTCCCAATAAGTCTTTTGAACAGATGACAGTCAAAAGACCTTACAGGCAGGGTGACATAAGCACTAGTGAGGTATCAGGAAAGAGTGAGACTGCTTTTAGCAAAGAGGTAAATCACTTTGTGTCTCTATGGATTGATGAAGGGGAAGTCATGCTTAAACAATCTGATAACCCTCTGTGATGAAATGACCGGCTTGGTAGATGAGGGAAGAAGTCTACCTTGACTTCTGTCAGGCTTTTGATATGGGGTCTCTCATTAGATCCTCATAGTGAAGCTGTTGATGTATGGGCCAGATGAGCAGAGTGAGCTAGATTGAAAACTGGCTGAAGGGCTGGGCTCTAGAGTGTGGTGATCAGTGATATGAAATCTGGTTGAAGAGAAATAACAAGTGGCATAGCCCAGGGGTCGACACTAGATCCAATCTGTTCAACATCTTCATTAAAGATCTGGATGATGAGGCAGAGTGTACCCTCAGCAAGTACACCAATGACACACAACTGGGAGGAGTAGCTGGTACACTAGAGGGTTGTGCTGCCATCCAGAGGGACCCTGACAGGCTGGAGAAATGGGCTGACAGAAACATTTTGATGTTCAACAAAGGGATGTGCAAAGTCCTGTGCTTGAGGAAGAACAATCCCATGTAGCAGGACGTGCTCGGGGCCACCCACCTGGAAAGCAGCTTTGCAGAATAGGCCTTGAGGGTCCTGGTTAACCATGAGCCAGCGATATGCCCTTTCCTCAAAGAGGGCTAATAGTATCCTGGGTTGCATTAGGGCAAGTGTTGCCAGCATGTTGAAGGTGGTGATCCTTCTTCCCCTCTGCTCAGGTGAGGCTATACCTGAGTACTGTGTCCAGTTCTGAGCTCCCCAGTACAAGAGAAGGAGCTACTGCTGAGAGTCCAGTGGAGGGTCATGAAGGAGATGAAGGGACTGGAGCGAGTCTTCTATGAGGAAAGTCTGAGAGCTGGGACTGTTCAGACTGGAAAAGAGAAGGCTGAGAGGGAATCTTATTAATGTATATAAACACCAGAAGGGAGAGTGAAAAGAGGACAGAGCCAGTGACAGAACAGTAGGCAGAGACTGAAACACAGGAGGTTCCCTCTTAACATCAGGAAGCACTTTTTTGCTGTGATGGTAACAGCAGAGGCACAGGTTGCCCAGAGATGTTGTGGAATCTCCATTCTCAGCGGTACTCAAAAACTGTTGGGACAAAATCCTGTTCTCCCACGCCAGCTCTCCCACTTCTCCCAGAGCCTATGCTCAGCAAGCCCGCATACAGCAGCCTGGCTCGCGCCACTACCTTTCATCTTGCCGCTTCCGTGGATCCCCCTCAGTACTGAAATGACACGTGATATAGGAACAACACACTTTATTGATCTCAACGGTGCACGCATTGGCCATGGATGCCCCGCAGGAACATGATCATTGGGGCGATAA